ACAAGGTTCAAATGAACTTTGCTTGGGGTCGAGTAACAACTACAGCTACGAGCCACCGATAAACTATTCCATTCACACATCACCACGGATCTTTTCTGAGAGCAAAGAAAAGCTGCTCTGGGGGTTATTTTGTTTTACTTACACTCGAGAATAAATTTTCAAAATTATTCAGGCTCTTCGCCACAAAACAGAGTGTTGTTGAATGCTGACAGACTGCTGTACCTACAAGCTGTACAGGGCTCTTGCAGCCCCTTCTGCCGCCCACAGACTCTCCACTCGTAATTCTCAAAACGTGCTTTGACTGAGTAAAACCCAATTAGGCAAGATATTAGCGGGTGACCAGAGGCTCTGGGTCAGCCCTGCAAGGTGATGAGAATCCTCAGCCTGCACTGGCTTGGGAGAAAAGGGGGCCAGAAAGGAGACTCGCAGACCTACAGGTTCCCCGTGGCTGTCAGAGCAAAAAAGTGTGAGCAAATACTGGGAAATGGATTTGCATCCTTCCCCTTAGCTGCAGGGACCAGGTGGCATTAAGGTTCAGGTTTACGGATGTGTAACATCTTGATGAAGAAAAGTACTATTTGCTGTTGCTGTTTGCACTATGCCCATCTTCAAAAAGCCCAAGGCTTTTTGAAAGCTGGCACATGCTGCCAGGGAGATAGTTTTTAATGAATACCAGCTCATGGGAAGTACTGCTCATCTAACATGATGACACGATCCCGTAAGAATATTAAATTGGTCTTTGCACCCAGTTCAGAGGAACAATGCCAGCATCAAAAGCCTGATACTAGATTTAAGAGCCCTGCGGTCCTGGTTCCCAGAGCAGAGGCAAGTTTTGCACTGCTCCCTCTCCTCTGATCTTCCAATTGATGGAAGAAACACTGCAAGAGCCAGAGCAGATCTCCTGGCACCTCAGGAAGCAGGGTCCTTACCACTTCAGGACTGAAAAAAAAAACAACAAAAAAACAAAAAAACGTGAAAATCAGGAGAATGGTAGGGGAGGCACAATGGGTTGAATAAGATCTCCTCTCATGATTTGGTTTACTCTTACTTCCAAGCATTGAGCCAGGAACCTGGATGCCTACCAGGCTGATGCTCAAACCAGCACGATTGAGGCCAGCCTCAGAATTGAGGGAAAAGGTGGCACTATCTGCATGTCTGATTTTTTTCATTATACAGAATAAGTTTGGGATATTGTATCAAGGCATACAGTGCACCTCTTCTGAAGTCTGGAAGCACAACGTACTAGAGAAAGTTGGATTATTTAGGGAAATAAGAAATCCTTGCAGAGGGGAAGGAGGAGGGAAGAAAAATAATAATGCCATCATTTTCAAATTCTTCTCAAGGATCTCAAGCTCATTTCCATTATTCCTTTCTGTGTTATTACCTGCCACTAGTCAAATGTCAAAAGATGGGAAAAACAAAATTCTACTGATAAGATAACATGTTGCAAAAGCATGACAAAACAACGGTATTTTACAAGAGCTGCACTGTAGCAACAGCCATCACCCCATTTGACTTCATGCTCTTTCCAGTGCATCTCCTGGCCTGCAGACCCCCAGCGGCAGCATGTGCTTCAGCTATGCTTACCAAACTCTACAGTTGGACCTATGGGGAAAAAATTGACAATTTAAAAAAAAATCCATATATATGTATATAAAATCAAGAGTGTTCCACCATACACCACTCCGAAGGCAATATTCAGCCCTAACTGTTCTCTCTCAAATCAGCAAGTGAAGTGGTCAAAGCCAGGTGGCACAGATCTATGGCAAACCTCCACATCAGGAAAGCCTGAAATTGTTAGTTTAGACACAGGATAAGAAGAGATGGGTAAGAGAACAGGTAGAGCGAACAAGGTCTTCCTTCTCCCTCCTTTAACGAAGGGAGCCCAACAGCAGGAGAACAAGGAGAACAACTGGCAAAAAAAGAGATTCAGAACCCACAGAGAGCAGCAAGACCAAAAGGTGAAATTCTCCACCTCTATAAAAACTGTGCTCTAGATCCACCGTTCCCCTTAGGAGGTGAGTGCTTCTGCAATTCCCTCCCCTGTTACACCACGTCACGGAAGACAAGCTACCAGTGAACCTCCTCTGAATGACAAGAGAAATGTATTAGCATCTTTTTATACGGTTGCTCTCAAGCGATGATTTTAAATTCTAATTATTTCCAAGGTAAACTGTGACATAGCCTGTATTACAATAACCATAGATTTAAATACACAAATTGCTGTGTCTTTTTCTGTTAAATATTAAAGTTCCCCTGGAGGTACTAAGTACAAACAAAATAACTCAAGATACTGTTTTCTTGATTTTTAGATCACCAGTAACAAGCTATATTAGTTTTCTCCTAAGACTGGACAAAAGCAAGGAGGGAGACACCACCACATACACACAACAGTATAGCAGCATATAAGGAGAGGCTGCCAACAGTATTTTTACATGATTGGTATTTTAAAACTTCCCTTTTACAGAGCGACAGAGCAGTTGTGCAGTACCACGATCACCCAACACTGAGCACAATTCCACACAAGTTTCTGAACGAAGCTGAGAGGGGACCAGAAGCTGTGAGATACCCTACATTAGAAGGGAATTATTCAAATGATACGGTGTCTGATCTTCACACAGACACAAATTACCCGAAAAACCCCAGCTCTTCCAAGGAGTCCAATGCATCTTGCTCTTTCAAGAATTTGGGGACAGGAGCTGAAGAACAGCTGAGCTGCTGCAACTCCCACCACCTCTGCAGGAACCTGCAGGCACCCTGCATGTCTTCTCATCAGCTGCGTTTCCGAACTGGCAGCAACTTTCTCTGCTGTATTTAAAGCATTTTTTCACGGAATCACAGAATGATATAGGGATGGAAGGGACCTCTAAAGATCATCTAGTCCCCAACCTCCCTTCTTTTTCAACACAGTTGGTTTATTACTGCAATTATCCTAATGGGCTGTGCTGTTTCGAGGTTGGTTTTTTTTCCTTTTTTAAACACAGTTAGCCACTGAACTGTTACTATGCAAAGAGGCCTATAAGCAACCTGGGATCTCCAAGAAATAAGAATCGATATTTTAACCATTAACCTTAAAAGCATCTTTTTAACTACCAACCCTGGACGGCTTTTCCTGGCTGCTGACAGAGCGTCCCAACTCCATTTGGGGCAGAACTACCATTTCACAGGGACAAGAAGCTCTGCTCCTGGTCCCCAACTCCTCCACACAGGAGGTCATGTTCTGCCAAGACGATTTGGAATAACTCACCCTGACCAGCAAAAAAAAAAAAAAAGAAGCCTGCTTTTCTGACACTTTCCACCCCGGAATCATCTTCCTGGATGAGCTGCACCAACAGCTTGCTGATGGTGGGACTCCATGATCTGGAAAGCCCCTTCAAAACCTAGACAATTCTATGATTCTGTGGTAACAGCCCCTTCCACACTTCCTGAGGCGAGGTCTGTCACCAGACACGGGGTCTGTCACCCTGACAGGGAGTCTGTCACTGGACTGGGGGTCTGTCACCTGGATGTCAGGTCTTACCCAGACATGGGGTCTGTCACCAGACATGGGGTCTGTCACCCTGACACCTGACACAGGGTCTGTCACCAGACATGAGGCCTCACTCTGATGTGCGGGTCTGTCACCCGGATGTCGGGTCTCACCCAGACATGGGGTCTGTCACCCTGACACCTGACACAGGGTCTGTCACCAGACATGAGGCCTCACTCTGATGTGCGGGTCTGTCACCCGGATGTCGGGTCTCACCCAGACATGGGGTCTGTCACCCTGACACAGGGTCTGTCACCCTGGACATGAGGTCTGTCACTAGACAGGGAGTCTCGCTCCAATGTGGGGTCTGTCACCAGACTGGGGGTCTGTCACCCTGACACAGGGTCTGTCACTAGACATGGGGTCTCACTCTGACGTGCACGTCTGTCACCCAGATTTCGGGTCTCACCCAGACATGGGGTCTGTCACCCTGGACGTGGGGTCTGTCTCTAGACATGGGGTCTTGCTCCGATGTGGGGTCTGTCACCGGACTGGGGGTCTGTCACTAGACATGGAGCCTCACTCCGACGTGCGGGTCTGTCACCTGGATGTCGGGTCTCACCCTGACATGGGGTCTGTCACCCTGGACGTAGGGTCTGTCACTAGACATGGGGTCTCGCTCCGATGTGGGGTCTGTCACCAGACATGGGGCCTCACTCCGACGTGCAGGTCTGTCACCCGGATGTCGGGTCTCACCCTGACATGGGGTCTGTCACCCGGACCCGGGCTGCCCGCTTACCGCAGCTCCCACCCGCTCCCTACCCACACAGGACAGGCCACCCCCCACCCTGCCACCGGGGCCAGCCGCGACTCACCAGGCGTGCCCGAGGTGTGCCTGGTCGTACACCGTCGGCCCGCAGCTGTACCTGCGGAGAGAGGAGGCAAAACGCACCCGTCACCTCACGTCCCCGGGCCCGGTACCTCCCGGTCCCCCCC